GCCCTCAAAGCTGAACTATGAATAGCAATATAGCAATTGTACATTCTGCACCGGAGCATAACATCATGTGTACAAGGCAAGGAGCTATTGTGGATTGAGAGAGAGTCGAATCTGCGGTGTCTGACTGCCAGAAGATTAAAAAGAAAAGCAGCCAGAGGTTCTTTCATCATACCTCACTATGCTAGATTCATTCAGCCGCCCACACAACTTCAAAGAAAGTATGAGCAACAATCCACGGGAACCGACAGTCCGGAGCTGTGCACGCCGGACACCACGCCGCCCGTGGTAACACCGGATCTCAGCCCCGTGCTGAGCGTGCCCACCTCGCCCCCCCGCAGCCCGTCCAGGCACGCCCACCGCCCCAGAAACGCCTGCTTCATGCGGCAGACCGCCGTGGACGATCAGGGCGGCGCCGAGATCCAGGTGCTGGTGGAGGGGCGGGGCGTGGACGTGCCGAGGGGCGGGGCTAACAACTGGACCGGCGACACGTATCCCGAGCGCGGGGGCGGCAGCCGCTCCGCCACACCCTCCCTCCTCGAGGAGCAGGAGGGGCAGATTAACGGCCACGAGCAGGCCCCTTTGTCCAACCACAGGCCCCGGGAGAAATCCTCGTCCAATCACAAGTCCCGGGAGCACGCCTCCTCCTACAGAGCGTGGGAGCACTCCCTCGCCAACCAAAAGCTCCCCAAGCAAGCCTCTTCCAGTCACAAGTCGAGGGAGTACTCGTCCTCCAATCACAAGACATGGGATCATTCTTCCACCAATCACAAGGCCTCTTCCAACTACAAGCCGCAGGTGCACACTTTGTCCAATCACAAGGCCTTGGAACATAATACGTCCAATCACGAGACTTCTGAGCATGCTTCTTCCAACCACAAGCCACAAGATTATATCTCCTCCAATCACAATGCAAAGGACCACGTCGCGTCCAGCTACAACCACCGACAGCACAACCCCTCCAACCCCAAGGCTCACGAGCACGCCCTAATGGACCAGAGGCCGGACGGCGTTCCCGGGGGCTGGACCGCCGAGAGCACCCTCAGGTGGAGCCCCGCCCACTCGCGCCTCACGGAGCAGGATGAGGAGAGGATGAATGACTACACGGTCGACATGAGGCTGCAGTGTCCGGACTCGCAGGCGTCTCGGGGGCTGGGTCCGGAGTGCCCGCCCCCCAAGAACAACCGGGTGCGAGCCCGGGCCCTCCGGCCCGTCAGAGAGGGATCCATGGACTCTGTGCAGATGCTGGACAACCTGAATGTGGGGGCGGAGCTGGAGGAGTGGCCTCTGCACAGGGACCTCACCTTGTCCCCGCCCCTCAAGTCTCAGCCCATCACTCTGGAGCAGGACGGGGAGCTTCTCGCCCTCAAATCAAACTCAGTGAGTCGCCGCGTTTCATCGCCGCCGATTGATTAGTTAATTCATTATTAATTAATCAAAATAGCAAAAAGCATCAAAAAGAATTGTTTTTTGGAAATATGCTTATTTGGATGCTTCCACAACGTCAATCATCTTAACATTTCTTCTAAACAAGGGAGATTCCACATGGGGCATTAGCAGGTCAGGCTAGCAGTTTCCCCAAGTCTATGCTAGGCTAAGCTAATTGCCTGCTAGCCCTCAAAAGTGAATGGACAGACACATCGATCTTCTCATCCAAAGTTCATCAAGGAGGCAGATGATTTTATTTTCTAAATGTAGAACAATTCCTTTATAAGATAATCACATTATAGTAGACTAGTATTGTTAGTATTACAAGAGGCGATACTTCATAACAAATGTGAATATTCATTCCACAAGCTGAAAGCACCAGACAATACATTCAAACTAATTAGGCTCCTTGTGACTCTGGCAGTGTAGAATTGTGTCACAGAGAACACAAAGCAAATAACAAGAGAGACAAAAAAGAAAATGATAAACTAATTTTAAATTCTAAAAAGTCTAATTTCTTCACATTAAAGCATGTAAACACGTCTGAGCAGACAGCTGGAATACAAATATCACCCTGAAGATGATACATGTCCCTTTTAAGCAAATGAGTGAATATAGTGTAACGAATATTGTGTTAGAGGTAAAAGTCAAAAAGTTTTAAAGTGTTGAAGCAGATGTACTCGTTAGGAAGAATGGTTCCTTGCACAGAGTAAAATAATTGTAATATAAGACATATTCCTTTTACTAAAGTACTTTATATACAACTGGATGGTTTCTACAGAATCCTATTATAATGACTAATGAGGTGTTGTTTGTACAACCTTAATGTAGTAACTTGAGCTGTAAGGTGAAGTATTACAATTAAACGTTTAACATATTTCTCAGAGATGTAGAAAAGTTAAATACCTAAAAGATTTGTGCTTAAGTTGGCATTTTCAAAATAACGAGGTTTATTCGTCTGTCGGCTATTTGTCAACAAAACATCTGTCAATTAAGTATTTATTACAAGCAATACTCGATCACTTTTGTGATTTCGATCAATCGGTTTTCCATTTAGAATCCGGCTCTTTTTCTTCGTCACTAACTGAACTGAAGTCTTCTCTCTTGTGTTTCAGGGCTCCAGCTCTGTCCTGGTGGTTATGGTCATTCTACTCAACATCGGAGTAGCCATTCTGTTCATTCACTTCTTTATTTAAGCTTATACAGGTATGATCTACTAAGACTTATTGATAACTACAGTATATTATATATTATTACTTACTGAGACGGACATTCTGCCTTTTGGAGCCCATCGGAGAAACTTTCTACTGTTGAAGCCCCCCCCCCCCCCCCGATGCTATACGCTTTTCCAGCTTTGCGAACATAGAAACGAAAACATTTAAGTGAAGAAGAGTTTGCAGCGTTGAACCTGGCGTCTCGGCTCAGTTTCTCATCATTCTAGACGAGGAAATAAAGCCACGCCCGTTTTCTTGTGACATGGAAACATGCTGCCAAGAGCAAGGCACACACGCATCCTAAACCCCAC